TGAGGGAAGGAGCACGCGGTGAATCCGGCTCGAACGGCTCGGGAGAGAGGAGGTCGACGACGCTGAGGAGGAGAGCAGCGAACGGCCGCAACAGCGTCGGTGTTTGGCCACCCGGCGCCGAAGCGGGGATATTTTCGAGGTGAGTGTTTATTGTGTCAGTAAAGATCCGAGTTTAACTTTTTGCTATTCGCCCGGCGGAATGATCCACCGGTTCTTGCTCTTTCTCTCTCTCTCTCTCTCTTTCTCTCTCTCTCTCTCTCTCTCTCTCTCTCTTTCGAGGTGGTGAATTCCGCGTGAATCATCGCGCGGCAGCGTCTAGATCGAACCTCGTCGTTCGAATTTCACCGTTAGCTCACTCGCAGGTATCGCAATTTTTCGCCGCGGTTTTACGATATGATGCACATTAAGGGGGGAAGGGGGGTCGTCGCCGTGTCGTTGACTTTCACACGGGTCACTCGCGAGTTTCTGCGTACGCGACGCGTATTTTTTCTGCCGCGGAAAGATTCCGACGCGCAACCGGGGACTCGTTACGCGCGCCATTACGGGCGAACGAGGAGGTGCGAGTTTCCTCGCAGCCGACAGATGAGTCGTGCAAACGCGAGCCGCGCTGTTATTTTAGTCGCTATTTCTTTCGACGGCGTTTACCGTAAAACAAACGTTATCCTGACCCTTGTCAACAGCGAGTCCCGACGAGAGACGACGTCGCGAATCCTGGCGGGCAAATTTTTCGGACATGTCGCACCGCATTGACCGTTTCGAACGGCCGTCATTTTGAAATGTTCATGTCGCTTCCTCTCGCATTCGAACTCGCGTTGATGCAACTTTGTCGTGGTCCCGATCGTCCGATTCGGCGCTCCGGAAATTGGTGATTTTTTATCGACGTGATAAATCGTCGATAGGAAAAAGTCGCGCGATAAGCAATAGAATGATTGCGTCAAAAACACGCTTGATCCTTTTAATGCCAATCTCCGCGGAGATCGAATTACCTCGAGCGCTTGATAACGCTCGAACGGACAAACGTGATAACACGCTCCCCGACTTTCCTCGTGCGATTTTCCGCACAAATTGCGCCCTCGCGCGGCTCGACTGTCTGCCGAGCGCGCTCTGTTACGACCGTCCCCGCTATGTGTTGCAGCGCAACGATCGTTGATGGAGGAACTGTGAAATGACTTTGACTTCGACTGTTGATATGATTTATTTTGTCTTCAAATCGAGAGAGCACGTTGCCGCTTATACGTACAGAGTGGATAGCTCGAGAATTGGCTTGAAACTTGATGTGTATCAGACGACAGCTAACCAGAAACTGAGAGGTTTTTGTAGGGAACAGGAAAATAACGATAATAAGTTTGCAAGAGAAAAGATAAAATTCTTGCAAGGGTAGTCGATGGCCGATGACGAGAGATTCGACAGAAATTCGGGGATATGATAGCTATTAGTTTGTTATTTTAGGATGAGGTTGGTCATTGGAATTAGGTAAGATAGATATGGAGGAACATGCGTCATCATCGTCATTGCGACTGTCTACATAAGATAATACAAGTTAAAATAAACAACAAAAATATATGTTGCGGCATGTAACAGCTCGCGAACCGGCGTCTCTCCAGCGCCATATTTTTTCTCCCTTGATGCGAAAATAAGAGACGGAAGGTTCCGTTGGCTGAACGGGTACCGTTGCTTGCGTCGAGCAACATCACGTAACGTCATAATTTTCGACGAGGCGTTCAAGTCGCACGCGCGCGGAACGAGCGAGGCGTTTTGATCGTTCTACATCCGTAGGCTGAGAAATCAAAGATCGCAGATCGCAAAGCGCGATTGGGATCGGTGGGGCAAGTGAGCGAAAAATCCCGGTGATTGTATCTCTCGGAACGATCAGGAAATCGCCAGGTGACACGCTCCGCTGAGTAGTTTTATTATTGGCTCGCACTGCGCGCGTGGAAAGTCGTAGAAAATGTCGGAACCAGCAGCAGCCGACACGTCGCATTCAATAAACATATATCTAGCGAGGATCAAAATTAGAAGAGAGGTCCGCGCGATATCAGAGTTGGGAAGTAACTCGTTACTTGTAACGGAGTTAGTTATTTTTTTTTATAACTATAACTTGACTCGGTTCCGTCTTTTTCCATCTGTAACTTAATTTGGTTACATTTGTTTGATAACTAGTAACTAATGTAATAGTTACTTTATATGTTTCAAACTTTTTCAAAGTTTCTGGCAGACTAGTACGATAACGCGATGTGCGATGCTTGATATCTAATGAGCGTATAGTTATTCTGGCTGTATGTAGAAAACGCGCTATAGCGTCTATCTTTATTAGATGTAAAACAAGGAAGGAAAATGATGCTGATAGTCTCCTTTCCGAACGCAATCTGTATTTCTTTCAAAAAATTGTACGCCTGTTGGACATTTCCGTCATGCGTCGCCAGTCCTTATTTGTTAACATAACTTGCGTTCAGCGTAAAGTGCGTTGCGTGGTTTCAGTTATATAAAAAATTCAAGCAATGGATAAAACATCTCAATCTTCGGAGAAAGATTGTAAAATGCCATGGCCAGCATATGCAGAAATATTCGAGTCACTGTAAAAATTTGGAAATGAAAACAACTGGGCATTTCTTTGTAAAATTTGTGCTGGCAAACAAATTATTTATGCAAGTAGAACTTTAACTGCAAAAACAGTTTAAGAAAACATATGAGTGTAATTCTTTATTTATAAAATATCAATATATTTTTTAGTGAAAAAATCTAATTTTTGATGTTAAAATTACTCTTAGTATTTTTAGTATTTATTATCCTCATCAAATTCATTCACTTTCTTATAATTGTTGTTAATAGTCTTAAGTAATAAATATAAACTGCTTATTTAAATTAATGAATCTAATATGTAAAAATATAATAATCAACAAACTATCTTTATATAAAATTGAGGGAATTTACACAATCATGAAATTTGGAACAATAGCACAATTATTGTAAAAAAGTAACCGAAAAGTAACGACTCGTTATTTTCTATATAACCATAACTATAACATGTTATTCTTAAAGCTCAGTAACTTGTAACTGTAACTAGTTACTTTTTCAGTGAAAGAAACTGTAACTCTAACTGGGATATTTTATAAAGTAACTTTCCAACCCTGCATGTTACATCATCTGACCGAGCGAGACATCCTTTGGACATTTGAAGAGGCGATTCCTCACGGCTCCTCTTGCCGCTCCATTTTCAATCGGCCAATCGTTTGTTTCGGGGAATGTTTTTCCCTCCTCCTTCCGGTGCTGCCGTTAAGACCGTTTTATCGCCGTGACCGATAGTTGGCGCTCGTGCGATTAGCGAGTCGAGCGGGATCGAGATCGCATCTCCGGCGAGCGGCGAGTCCTGCGATCGTGGCTGGCCCGCGCGTTTAGAAAGTTTGAATTTCTGCCGACTTACGTAATCCGTCCGGGATCTTTCCGGCGACCTTTGCCTCATGCAATGGCCGCTTTCGTTGTCGGCGGAGCCCCGCGGAATTTTCGCGGTTTATTTTGGTATTGGATTATAGCCGTTATAACTGCAGAGCGGCTGCAATGCGCGCTTTTCGACGTTACATCGCGACCGGAAACTTCGAGGGGAGGATCCGCGATGCTTCAACGCGGATGGAGTTCAAAAATAACGAGCGACCGTATTAACTTTCTTGCGGTTCTATTTACTGGCAGAAATTAGTATCAAAATGGTTAAATTGTTTCTGCGGAGGAAAATATTTACTTTCATGTTTTATAATAGTTTTCGAACGTGCTGATTTCATATTTGAGGTTGTTGCAAAATTCAAAATGGCGGATCAAAAATGGCTGAAAGTAGTAAATTTTACCCCGAGTCAGACTCGGGTCTAACCGTAAGTCGGTGGACCTCTCGAGGATCGTTCGAGAGAGGAGAGAGGAGAGAGAGAGAAGCGCGTGACTTAAAAAATCTCGCCTAAATGTCTGGCTAATTTAAACGATCCGCTTTGAGCGAACATTTGTATTGTCGGAGAATGCGGTTATCGACACAACGGTCGCTCTCGTGGCGAATTCGCAAGGTGTCGTCGTGATCGGAGAGAGGTTTTTTGATACCGGAATGCCCTGCGTGATTTATCTGCACAACGTATTATCAATAGCATAATCGCGGCCATGAATTTGCAACAATTTCTTCACGTTCGTCACTCGTTCTATTTGAAAATGATTAATTCGCCCTCGCGCCCACTTGCGTGTACGGGCGGCCGCTTGTTATGTATTTCATTATTCGTGAAAAATTAAAGCGAATGGAGGTGGGAAAGGCAGAGGAGGAGGGAGAGGGAGGAGGTATAGGGTATTTTCTATCACAAGTTAAATGCAAGGTTTAATGACTCTATAATACATGGTGGCGTTCACGTTTAAGGAAGGTGCACGATGATTCACGGAGTCTGTACATGGTGCCCATTTGCAACCGGCTGATGTCATCATTAACGATGTAACCTTTTCGCGCGTTGAATGCAACAATAAAGTCGTTAGTTTCGAAGGCATCGATTCATTCTCGTAAAAGGTTGCCTTGCTTTCAATAAATATTTAAATAAATATATTTATATAAACATTTCAATAAATATCTTTTTACATAAGATATTTAATGAACATTTTAATAAATATTCTTTAATAAATATTTAAATATTTATAGACTCGATATACAAGATCTTTGAGTGATCAACGGACGAGCAAAATGTTAGTTAAAAATTTATCAATTGCAAACAATTTCTGTAATATTTGTCATAATATTTGTTGAGGACAAAAATATCTCATGTGATTTACAAGTTTGGCATCATTTACAAGTTGCAAATTTTATGTACGTTGCTCGCGTAACGGAAACAAAAAAATTAATTTTTACTATTTTTTTTCTTTTTGTATACTTCTTATCTCTTCCTATCTCTCTTTCTCCCTCTCTCTCTCTCTTTCTCTCTCTCTCTCTCTCTCTCATTTTAATGAGTTACAGAATATTCTCATTATATTCCCGTTCGTTTTCATTGCCAGCACGTCCGAAAGGCGTCGGAAGCCAAAAAAAGGTCGTTCGAGTCTGCTTATCTATACCGCAACGTCGGTCGCCGATAATTATAGCCGCGCGAAAGATCGGCTCTCATTCGGAGATGCTCCCCTGTGAGCCGATTGACGTCAGAAAGCCGTAAAAAATTCGCGTATGTGAGAGAGAGAGCATGATCGAAGGTATTCCGCTGTTCGATAATACGTAGGTATGCAAGCGAAATTAGACGTCTGGCGGGTCACGATTGACCGGCCGACGCTCCGACATATTTTTATAACAGCCGCGCGGACTTTTAATAGAACGCACACACCGTCGATCGACACCGTACGTGCGAAAATTGATCTAAGCGCTTTCGCAGCGGTGTACCGCGCGATGGAGGGGGCACGGGAGAGGGTGATGGGAGGTGTGAACAATCCTCAAGGTCCACGCGGAACGAACGATCTCTCCCGGTAGCCGCGATGCAGTTTTCCGACTCGGCGCGCGCGCGCGACAAGAACAGAGAAACTTGATGAATTCGCAGTTGTTATCCGACCTGGCGTGTCCGCTAGGCAAGAAAGAAAACGCGAGTGCTCGCGCAGTGAAAGTGCCGTGCGAATCCAATGATCCCTCGACCAGGTAATGTATGCGCGAACCGCCACGGCGCGGTGCACTTTGCGCTGCGAAGTAATCGCAGCTAACTGCGGGACAGCGGAAGGGCGAGGAGGGGGAGGGTAAGATCCGAGGGAAAAAATATGTAGCGCGTGGAAAATCACTTTTGATCGGAGACTGCTCTGCCGTAAAAAATGTTTGTTTACGTCGCGTAGTAAAATTTTTTTCTTTTGTCTCGGAAGTCGCCGCGGACTGTTTTTCTTCGTAGCGACGATCAATCAATTCGCGCGGGGACAAGAGGAGAGGTGAAGTAACGTCACTCTGTGTCTCCTGGAAGCCGAGCGATTCCTGAGACTCGCATTCGCTCGGGCTTTTCCTCGTATCTCTGATTCTCTCATACGCCCGCGAGTACTTAGTCCGCTCGTTATAAAGGAGATAAACGTGTCTGGTATTTGCGACCGTGATCGCACAACAAGTACAAGCTGCAATCAGACGAGTCATTTTTGCAATCGGTGTTACTACTACACGGAAAAAATGGTTGGTTGGATGAAAGCACATTTTTTGGTGAAACGCGAATGATTCCGAAATTCCAGTTCGAATTGTGAGAATTCGGTCTAAATATTAAGATTTCTCGTTAACTCAGAATTCTGGTACTCCCGATTGGAATTTCCGAATCATTCGTGCTTCAGCAGGAAATTGACTCATCCGACTAAACATTTTCCTTCGCGTGTATGGCGTGTTAGTGAGATAATAACTTTCTGTAGGTATTGCTAATATTGTTTTTCGGTTGGAACAACAAGAAGGTACACTTGACGCCAAAAGCAACTATTAGGAGTATGCGATTTAGTTTGGAGAATTTTTTCCTCAAAAACTGATTTACTTCGACAAGATAATGAACGAATACCTTAATCAAAATATTTTCCTTCGTTTTCTACTTTTTTCATCTTTCTGGCAAATTTCGCGACGATAAAAATATACTTTGATCCAATTTTCAACAAATTTTTGCACTAGGTCTAAGTTGTGAAAGTGTGTATGCTCTAGAACAGGAGATGCTCACACCCCCTGGAGGTGCGGAAAAGCATTCTTGCAGGTGCGAGGAAAAATGATTGTAATTAATAATGATTACGATGAACTCTGGAATAATCCGGCATTTTTACCATCAAATAAAAAAAATGTTATTAAAATTATATATTTTTTATTATAAAATTATATAATTTTTATTATCAAAAATTAAATATTTTTTTTATTTTTAACTTCTTACCTTAAAACTCTAACTAATTTTTACCATAAAGCATACGAATAATTTTTTTTGTAGGGGGTGCGAAGGTTTATTAATAAATTTTTAGAGTTGCGAAATACAAAAAAGGTTGGGAAACCCTGCTCTAGAGCATGTTGGATCGACCGGACCAAGTGATAATCGAATGGAGTAATGTCTGGAGAATACGCGGCGTGCGGTAAGACTTCCCATTCCCGCTCTAATAGCGTTTGGTTCACTGATAACGCAATATGAGGTTAAGTATTGTCGTGAGGAAAGATCACTTTGTGTCGTTTACTCGCAATTGGTGATCGTTTTTGGTTCAATGCTCGCTTCAGTTTGTATAATTGTTGTCGATTAGCAGTGACAATTTCATTCGCATTCAACAGTTCATAGTACGCAACACCTTTTTGATCCCACCAAATACACAGCAATACCTTTGAACCGTGAATATTGTGTCTCGAAGTGGATGTTTCTGGTTGGCCTGGATCAGTCCATGGTGTTTTCGTTTGGGATTATCGGAATAGATCCATTTTTCATCCTCAATAACAATTCGATACAAAAAATTCTTTATTTTTCGTCTGGCGATTAACGAAATGCAAATGTTCAATCGGTTCGCAATGACACTTTCCGATCATTGATGTGGGACCCATTTTCTTTCTTTCCTTGTATCTAATTTTCCTTGTATCGTATAAACGTTTACGATCAACAGTTCATGCCCTGGCAAATTCTGAAGTGGATTGTACTGGATTTTCGTTCAATAATGCTTGCATATCTACATTTTTAAGTTTTTTTGTTTGTCCCGAGCGATCTTTGTCGTTAACATTAAAATCATCATTTTAGAATCGTCTAAATCAATATTCACATGTCTTAATTGATGGAGCAACATCATCACAAGTTTCTATCAGAATTTAGTGATCTTCAGCCGCCGTTTTTCTTTTGATTAAAACACACAAACAACGGATGTCAAAAATGCTCTTCAGGAAGCTCCACTTTTAAGACAGTATTAACACAATTTTTACTGCGTCTGTTGTTAGTAAATGACTAAATATCATGGATTAATATTAAAGCATGAAGAAAAAATAGCTGTGATTGGAATGTCTTCGACAAAACTGACATTAATGCCATCTCTTCCAAAGCCCTCGAAACTAAATCACATTCCTGATATATTTTTAGCAACATTAATCACTTTTTGCTCTCATTGTGCAGCTGCAAGTAACCGTCGTTGTCGTGTAACGGTTACATTGCAAATATCCGATTATGGAAGGATCCCGCGTTTCTCTCTCTCTCTCTCTCTCTCTCTCTCTCTCTCTCTCTCTCTCTCTCTCTCTCTCTCTCTCTCTCTCTCTCTCTCTCTCTCTCTCTCTCTCTCTCTCTCTCTCTCCCCTCTCTCCCCTCTCTCTCTCCCTCTCTCTCTCTCTCTCTCTCTCCTAAGTCACAGATCTTCATTCGAAATCTAATTGACTTTTCGATTATACATCCCCGATAGAACAAGTTATCCGTTATCGCGCGCTCGCGAGCGCATTAATCATTCTCTCCAGACGTTTGACAAATGCTCGCTGCGCGCGCGACTGTCGTGTCTCGTGTCTCAAGCTTCGATCTGCCGAGCGAGCCTTAGGAAACGAGGGGGCAGCAGGCTGGAAAAGTACCGTTACGACATTTCCTCGCGCTCGCGCGCGCCAGCTCGCACGATTATCGCAGAAAAGCTCGCGCGCGATGCGATTCGCTGTAGTCTGAGTGCAGTTAGTGTTAATGCCTGATAAGAATCTGACCCGGTCAGCAGTGATTCTCATTCGCCTTAACCTAGTTCGCAGGCTCGTCGAGTCCCCCGATCTGTGCCATGATTGCGGCGCAAATCGTGCCGGTGGGCGATAACTGGCGGCGCGCAATGCCACTGCCAGAGAACCGCGCAACCCTGATCTAGCGCGGTGGTGCGCGCATGCGCGCTAGATCGTCCCTCCGAGATCGTCGTTCCCTTGTCGCGCGCGAGTCGCCGCCACCGGCGCGGCGGCGCGGGCGGAGGGATCACGGAAGGGGAGAGAATCGCGAGAAAGCGGACGGATTCTTGCGACGAGCTTTGACGCGCGCAGCCCGCCGCGACGTCAAACGCGCCGGGATCAGGCGCTCGTAAATCTATTCCTCGCGCTTTACGCGGACGCGTTTTACGACAATTCGGCCGTTCGGTAATGCGCGACTATTACGCTTCAACTATTGCACAACTCGCTCGTTAACGTTGCGCAACGCCTCGGGCATAATTTATTTCTTCCTGTACGAAATATACGTCCGCGGCCTATCGTCCGGGTGAGAAGAAAATTTTTGCCGATATCACGCAAGCGATTCTCGCTTTCCGCCGCCGGTCGCCATTATTCTCCGTGAAGGACCACTGCATATTTATTTTTTTTTCGTTTGTTTTTCTTCGTTTTTTCCCTCTCGACCATTGTTTCGCGACGAGAGCTGCGTGTCTTCGCGCTTGCTGCCGTCTCAACTTTGACCGATGTTGCATCACGCGGCCAGTGTCCGGTTGAATAGCAGAGCACCATCGCGGAAAAAATCGTGTCGGTTATTCGACGCGGAGGGGTCACAAGGTCATGCGTTAGGACAACGACGGGGGGGAGAGTTCGGGGAGGACCGGAGAGAATATCATCTCTCGGGCGTTGCGTCGCGCGCGTGCACACGAGAGAGAGAGAGAGAGAGAGAGAGAGAGAGAAAAAGAGAGAGAGAAAGGGAGAGAGAGATGTGCGTTGTAACGCATTAGTGCCACATCATGGCGCATGCCGATACGATAAGCCGCTCGCAAGTTTTCCACGATGTCCCGAAATAGCCGTTACCCGACGCTAGCTGGATTAAGGAACTTTCCTTCGGATGATACGAGACGAGCGAGAAGCACGAACTCGATAACGTAATCGCGTCGCGAGATGAGGTATGCAACAACTTGGCGTGAGAGAGGGGAAGGGATGAAAAAGAGAGGGAGAAGAGAATCACGACGACACCGTTGCAGCAAAGTCCAAGAGCAACAGACGCGTCTGGAATTCTCGACGCGAGGACGTGGAAACGCCATCCAGCAAATTCTCTCCTTCCCCCCGGATAATGCCCCCTCCGATTTTCCGAGCTTTTTCTTGTCCGGGGAAGACTCGGCCGTTCATGATTGCTCGGATTATTGCGCTACTGATCGCGTTCTCTCGTGGTATTCTTGGCATCACGGCTCTGGCTGCCGAAGTGCGAACGATGAGGCGTCCGTGAATTCGGCAACAACAGCGGATAGTGTCCGGCGAGGAAGATACGGCGAGATATACCGCGAGAGAAATCCCTGTTGGATACTGGTCGAACTATTTGCTTTCTCATGCGCTTGAGACTCTTGGTATGGCACATTTTTTTTCTACCTGACGGACTTTCGCGAAACCTTGCATTTCTACGTTTCTCGGATCGCTGACTACTGAAATCCGAAGTCAGATTTCAGAAATTCAAAATGACAGGTCAATACGGCTGTCATGTGAACCCATAGGGGCCCGTAGGGGTGAATTAGTGTAAATCTGAATAAATGTAAATCAGATACGTAATATAAGGGTTTTTCTGATCGTTAATTACAGATTTGAAGTCAGATTTACAGAATTCAATGAAGTGATTTGTTTATAAAAAAGATCTAGCATATGTGTGGAAAACTCCGGAAAAAAATACATTATATCTTGACATATATATAAAATATGTATAGAATATATATTATATTTGAAAATATATATTATATTTTGACATGTGAAGAATATCCAGCAAAATT